ATGGAATTTCAGACAAAGCCACACACTCGCATATTCCGGCCTGTATGGAGCGTGACTATTTATCCTCTTATTATAAATACAATATCATATTTTATATGTCCTTTATATGTGTGTATACAAAGTATTTGTGCATGTGTGTTTTATGTAACAAAAAAAACAGTGGTTTTTTTTTTTTTTTGCAGTGATCGTTTTCTGGCTTCATAAAAACTGCAGAATTCATACTTCATTTCTTTATACTTGAACTTTCTTTTTTTTTAAAGTTGATCCCAAGACTGATTTTTGAGGATTCCCACTAGTAAACTTCTTGCAGTTTGATGCTGCTTCTTTCAATACCACTTGTTGCCATCTATCCATTACGCAATCTCTTCTTACCCACTTTACAACTCTTCTCCTAATCCCCTGTTTCCTATGTGATGCTGTATCATATGCAGTACAGATATAAATAAGATGCATCACAGATCCTTTGTCTAGAAATAAGTTATCTCATTAAAGAGAGATAACAAATTTACTTGGCACGATCTATCTTTAGTAAATCCTTTTTGAATGCTATTCCATTTACCACCCTGCCTTCACCCTGCCATTCATTTTTCCCTCAACATTTTTTCTAAAGCAAGTGAGGTCAAACTAAAGGGTTCGTAACTGCATAGGCCTCTCCCTTTGAAACAGATAATGCATTTGCTGTTATCCAGTCAGCCATGTCTGGGCTCCTTCCAATTGGAGTTTTATGTTCTCTTTCTTGTGATTGTGGGATAGGGTTCACTTGATATCTCTCCCCAGTCTAAATGCAGTGTGCTTTTAGCTTTGTTTCCAGTTTCCTAATTTCTACAATCTTGACTTCATTCCTATTTTTTATCCTGTTACCTCTGTGGTCATTATTACTGAAAACATATGGTAAGCAGTCATCGAGTTTCTTATTTTAAATAGATATTTATTTATTTTCACTGAATCCTCTTTTTATAGATGTCCCATGTTTTATTTGTTCTCATATTGCTTAACTGTGAGAAGGCTGTTCTGCTATTTAATATCGATGTCAAATTGCAGTTCAGTTTGACTACTGACAGTTCTCACTGTACTTTCTACTTCTGACCTCTAAAACACATCTGTGTCTGCTGATATGTCTTTTCTCTAATATTCTTCTTGAGGAAGTTCTTCATTTGTGTGGAATTTCTTGACCAGTTTCTCACAAATTTCTCCATTCTTTCAGATACACATTCCATGCAGCTTTATCAACTTAAATGTAAAATAATTCTTAGACTCCTCCTCATTGAAAACCTTGAATAGATCAGCCTATTTTATTACACTTACATAACCTTTTAGGTTACCAAAATCTGCCCTCTGAAATATAAAGCCTTGTTTTTACTGATTATTCCATTTCATTTTAATGAGTGAACTCACAAGTTTTCAGACCAGTTTCCTCACAGTAAATGTATTGTTTATTAGAACAAAGACAGGAATAGTTCCATCTTTCCCTGGCTTTTGACTTCTTGGTAAACACATTCATTAATTTGGCCCAAACAGATTCTGTTAGACGCATCCCTTTCTTTTTTACTTCATTTTAATCTGCCACATTATTAGAAGGCAGCTCTACAAGGTTACCTGTTTTAATCACATATTTCCTGAATAACACGTACTCCTCATTACCTTGCTCCTACTATATAATATTTGCCTCTTCTTTCCTGATTATCCAATGGTAATTCCTTTAGCATAGTTGAATTTTTGTTGACCAGATTTTCTTCTTGTTCTGTACAGTGAGAAGACATGAGGATTACATGAATGCCTACCAAGATTTCCTTGTACTCCTTAAGATTTGTTTTGCTTTAATAATATGTCAATCCCACTTTTTCCATGGTTATTCAGTGAGATACAGTTCCCATTAGTTTTGCTTTTTAGTCATTTTTCCCCTACCTAAAATGAAATTATTTACTATAATTATATTTGATTTAGTCCAGTGGAAATTTCCTTGCATCCCTTTCGCACTGTGAATAAATATATATGTGCATATTTATTTATTTATTTATTTATATAGAAAAGGATTTGCCAGTATTTATTGATTCTCTTTAAAAGACTCAATGCATGTAGGCATTAATTTTTCTCTTCTTAATTTACTTTACCCTCTGATCACAAATTATCCTGCCTTTTGTTCTTTTTTTCTCACAAACTACCATTCTTACTCATCTTTGGATTCTAGTCTCTTTGCTAGAATTAACTTTTTCACTTTTTTTCTATCTTCTGTTTTGGTTTTGTCTGTTGTGTTTTTCCAGTCTCCCAGACGGCAAGCATATTTTTTAACTTTTCTCTATCTCCCTGTTGTTCGGCTTGTTCTTTTTCTCTCACAAGTCCTCTCAGTCAACAACGGTCTGCAAATCCCCTGTTGCCCCATTTAGTTTGCTTTCTCTTACACCTTTTTCCCAAATCCACATCTTCATTCAACATTGCCTCCAGCCACATCTCTCTTAAGGTCTTCTCTTTGTGAATTTTAGCAGATGACACTTCAGGCATACAAATCTTTCCAGAGAATAAGACACATCCCACAGTTTCCGCAACCATTTTGTATTGTCCATATTGTCATATACCAACCACAAATGTTTTGATTCCTTACATAGTCATTTCCTCTTACTATACTTTTAAGGTGAAAGTCCCTCTCATTGTTGGTTATTTCTTTCTGTTTGTGGGCATATTGGTTTTTGGGACTGAATTGTTATGTCATTATCAGCTTAGCATTCTGAAATGCTGACAAGTGTATCGGGGTATAAAGAGAAACAGGAGAAAATTTGGTTCACAGTCCACATATTTCAAAGCCCTCCGTCAGGATTCAGCTTTCCACAGCTACCATATACAAGTTTGACAATAACATTTGGCTTCTCAGTGCTCTGCAGGAGTCAAATTAATCTGTTATTACCTGATGAGCAGTCATTTGGAAAAAAATGAGAAAATAAGACATATAATTTGTGGTCCAACATACAAGAAAGATACGACCGAAGAACACGTGAAGTTCTAGAGAGTGCACAGAGAGGGATGGGGTTTCACGTAGGTTAAGTATTACCCAGGTAAATATTCGGAGGTACAGTGTAGTTCAAGGATTCTCCCATCCTAACACTAAAACAATTACACTTCCAAACCTTGTCCAGTAAATGAGCACATTTCTTAGGGGAATAACTTGTTTATGGGGCTCAAGCAGACACCAATAACTGTGTCACATCACATTTATTACAAAATCCAAATATATTCTCCTCTACTTTGTCCAATATCTATGTGATCATTTATCTGCAGCAAATTTTACTGTAAATGTGATTATTTCCAAGAAGCAATTTCTCATGACTAGATTAAGTATAGTACTTACCATATATTCTGTTCAGGCAGAGGCATCATTTTGGAATCTGCATTATAAGTAAATGTTTCTCCTGCAGAGAAAACTCCATAGGCTTTACCTTAGAAACACAGCAATGGAAACACAACAAATGTTTGTTGGACTGAGCTCAATCTGCAAATGAGCTGGAGACAGAGTTTAGCCTTTGTTGTCTTTACAGTTTCAGGTTATTGATCTCTGAACAAGCAGTATTTTGCAGAAGACAAGATTCCTACAAGCCAGATTTCAGCTGAGCTGTTTTAACTGCCAATACAGGATAATGTGCCCCACCAAATCTCACCAGATACTATTTCTCAATGAGCAGGTGTCATATTTTTTATTTTTGACTGCTGACTGAGGGAATGTGTGACCAGCTGTTCTACTTTGCTTTCCTAACTTTTGTGATAATTTTCAAGTAGTATGACTACATGTGGAGGATCACAAAAGTCTATGTTACATAATCATCAAGGTTGGAAAAGTTCATTAAGTTCATCATGTCCAACGTGTCCCCACCATGCTCCTCTGTGCTACATCTCCACAGTTCTTGATTGCCTCCAGGGATAGTGACCCCACCAGCTCTACCCGTGCCAGTGCATCTCCACTCTTCCTGAGAATAAATTTTTGTTAATATCCAAATCATGTATAAAATGCTGCACTTTTAATTTAAGAGTCATCACAATATTAATTCATTGCTTCCTTCCTTCCTGTTACCTCCAGCCCTTAGTCAGGGGGAACACAAGAAATATCCAGTCACTCAAGAGATTAGTACATACCCTAGAATAGAAAACAAGCTACTTCAGTTTCTGAAATAAGCAAAAAGGAGCAGGCAATCTACACATTTTGTCCATTACAAAATAGTGTAAAAATAAGTTATTGAAGTACTTTAAACAAAAGAAACAAAGTTTAGATCAGCTTCCTCTTGGATTGGATGCTGGTTCAAGAGGGTTGAACATATTGTCATATTTCTCTAATCAGCTTAAGCACTGCATTTAAATCAAATCAGGAATGTGCAACAGGTAATATTTATAATATTTATGCTAATAAGGGAGAAATTCTGAAGTGTTTGAATGCAAATTTTTTGTCTCTCTTTTGTCTTGACTGATTTTAGATAATGTTGAAACATTGGCTGGAGCAGAACCCACCTTCTGCATCCTGCACAGAAATAGTTTCAGTGCTGCCTGCCTGTATTTTAAAGACACTTGCACACTCACAAATAATAAATCTGTCAAGGGACACTTGCAAATATCCCATCTCAATTTGTGCAAGTTACTCCATTCAAAATATTTCCACGCTTAAAATCATTTAGCAGGTTTTACCAGATTTATAAGCATTTGAGACTTGCAGTATAAAACCCGCACTGCGTGACAGACTGAGTTATTAAGTGTTTATAGAAATCTGATCAAATGGACCATCAGAAGTTGGGGGGAGGAGAGGGGGGAAATCTGTTACCAACTCGGCCATAATGACAGCTTTTCTCATCTCGCAGCAGTGACATGAAGAGGGAGCTGTAGCTCTTCCGAGGTACAGCTCTGCCTCTGCTGCGTACCCAGATGAGCGTCTGCTCTCCTCTGTTCTTCTCTGCTCTCCTTCGCTCCCGCTCTCCTTCCCTCACTCACTTACTTTTCCTCCCCCCAACCCCCCTTTTTTTTTTCAATCTCTGTGCCCCTGTGCCAGTTAATTTAAATGTATCTGTTCAAGTGGAGATAATCCATGCAAATCAGAGCACTGGCTCCCAGTGCTTGATTCACAAAGAGAACTCAGCTTCAGGAGGTCACTCGTTCACAGCTGCTCCTCCCATTATATTTTTCCCTTATTGCAGAACTGCTGCATGTATACAGTGACCGAAAGGACTCAATTTACTGCAACTGCTGCCTGGTTTTACTTACAACTTTCTTTAAAGGGGGACTTACCTTCTATCAGTCTTAATAAGGTAGGAAGTCTGCTTCTTCTAAAGACGTGTAATGCCTCCAGTGTTTGCTCATTATCAGATCCCACTATAATGACGTGTATTGTTGTCAGAATTAGGTCCTAATAGAATTGTGCCAGGTGTCTAATGCTTTTGTTACATGTATGTATAGGTGCAACTGATCGAACGGCTGTTTTTCTGTTTGTATAGCCCGCTATATATCCCCTCCCTCCCCTCCCCCCCCCCCCGCATTTTCTTTTCCTTTCCATAATGGCAGGTATGATCTTAGTACAGCAGCTTTCTAATCTGCAAATGTGATCTTCATGCAAGTTTGTGTTTTCTTTTAAAAACATTTTCTAACACGCATGTAAGTTTATGTAGTGCTTAGTAGCCCCCAGAGGAAAACAGCATCACTAGAGCTTTCTGTCCTGAACACTTATTAAAGGGCTGTCTTTGGAGCAGAACTAATTCTTGAAAGGTTTTTAACAAAAATAAAAAGGTCACTTTTTACTTTGCTATGTTGTAAACAAGGAAACTCCAGGCCAGACTGCAAATGGGCCTGTCGTAAATTTATCCCACAAGATAAACATATTGTTAATAGGACTGCCAGCAAAAGTAGTGGAATTGAACCCTCATGGTTCTGTGTTAATATCTATTGTTTAGAGAGGTTGGAGAAGCAGAGCTCGCTTTGCAAAGTGCAACTCAAGACCAACTGTGTGGATATGATTCTTAAAAACCTCCTTAAGAAAAGGAAAGTCAGACACTACTTCATTAGTTACTTTCTAACTTTCAGCATCTACCACACTAAATACTGATGTAATGTATCTGACAGCACTGGTGTTATGAAAGCAAATAGTAACTCTTACATTTATTTATATTTCTTTGAATTGGCTGTCAGAATTTGGGGATGGAAATGATTAAAATAACTATAAAAACAACTTCAAATGTGATAAATTCCAAATAATGGATTTGAAGAGAAATATAGTGGAAAAAGATCAGAATTATTCTGATTTACACTTGTCCCACAGTAAAGTTCGTGCTTATTTTCTCACACAGCTGGAGTTGAGAATGACAATGATTAGATCTGGAGCTTTTTTATAGACCTACTCCTTAACACATCCAAGTTAATCAAGTAACAGCTCTCTGAATCTTTAGATAGAAATTAAAAAGAAAATTTAGAGACCAGACAGGACAGAAAGAGAAACATAAATATCCTCAAACATACCCTAATTTCTTCAAGAACACTTGAGGCATGAGTTTATCTTTCAGGATTAGACATTTTTAGCTAGCTTGCTTCAGGAGAGAGTACTTGTACCCTGTACAAAGTATTTCAGTGCCCCCAATGAGCATCTTTTTTCTTTGATATACAGTCTGCTCTTTGAAAAAAAATGCATTCTGATTTTGGAGTACAGTACAAACCTAGAGAGCCTTGTCATTGTTAGCATAAAGAAGACATCTACACAAGTATTGCTGTGCAGAGGGCAATCTTTCTTTCTCTGGCATTTGTTAGGTTACTGTACATAGAATTTAGCAGATAAACATCTCTTGCTTCATGGCATTTTGGAGATCCTATTGGTATGCAGGTTACCCTGTGAGGATGGCAAATGAAAGAAGAAATATGTTTTATAGCAGTGTGTAATAAAAGCCCTTCACAATGATGTAAGTGGATTCTGACCTTTCTTTCTTATCCTGTAACTAGAATTTGTATTAACTCTTTCAAGTGCAGAGTATTTTCAGTAAATTGATGTTACTTAGAGAGAACAAGTATGTGTTTTTCATATAGGAGTTTAAAAAGTAACCTTTTAGAATCCTTTTTAGACAGAGAAGAATATATATATTCTTGCTAGAAATGTGCTCCACACAAAGAAATTTGGATTTATAGGAAAAGGAATATTTCATGCATCCTGCCTCTCCCCAGGAAAAAAAAAAAAAAATCTAAAGGAGACTTCTTTAGTTTTTGGAAAGAGGAGCAAAATACATTTTAGAGAAGAGAGCTGAACTTAAGGAAAACCAGTCAGGATTTTTTGTTTGACTAAACCTCTGGCCCGGATAAAGTTGGGAAGTAAAGATGATCCCTGTGGAGTTTTGTGATATACAGCGAGGAAATTAGATGACTCACCACTGGAGATTTGAAAAGAGAGAAAAAGATTTTTCTGAGAAAGAATTTTTTGTAAATGGAATAAAATATTATAGCGGCACACAGTTATTTCCAGCTTCCTTTCCACCTTTTACCCAATGACCAATGAATAACAGGGATAAAAGTGTTCCTTCATGAGTCATCATCAGCATTTCATACAGTTATTTCAGAATGATGTACTTGATTCTCCTAGTAGGTTCACCAGGTTCACCTGGCATACCACAGTTTAATTCCTTGATCACTGAAATAACTGAGATGGAGTCAGGTGGTTTACATTATTTGAGGCTCTGACTGGATTTTCAGGGAACTCTCAAGGGAGTGAACCTTTATGTTTCATTTTAGGCTAGTTGGTACAGTTTTCTATAGACAATGTCAGTATCCTCTTAGGGTCAGTACCTTTTTTCCTACTGGTGTTTCTTCTTCTGTATTTTTGCCATTGCTGCAGTAACTCAGACAAACATCTCCAAAATAAGTTACCCTACACTCCACCATAGTGTGTCTTGCAGAAGTCTATAGGATGTGGTAACCTCTGTGGCTGTACACACTGCAGGTATCATACTCACCTCAGGTTCTTTTCTGATGGTTTTAGAGAAGACGCGTAAAAAAATAAATTACCATTTTAAAGGATGCTATAGAGCTTGTTAACAAGTTCCATCCTACTTCTTAAAGGTCTTAGTTGCTATCTGTTTTAAGCAAGTACATTTGCTCAACTATACCTTAAAAATGTTCCAGAGAATGAAGAAAATTTGAAAATCCTAAAAAATGAGTGATAAAGCCTTTGAGAAAATGTACAGCTATAAATGGGAAATCTAATTGTCAACAAAATCCTCAGTCAATGCTTTTTTATTGTTGCTTTTTTTTTCTATAACTGCAGAGAAATAATACATTCCCCACAGCTTCTCATCAAATCCCATACACAATTATATCATATTGTCCTTTTTTATCATTGCCTTGTACTGTAGAGTACATTGTTAAAATATAACATTGCAGAGTACAGATCTTGCGTTTCTTTCACAGATAAAGCATGCTTATACCTCTGGGGGTTAAAAGCTGAATCAGATCCATAGCTCACCTACTGACAGCCTTTCAAGTTGCTCCTTATTTATTTATTTATTTGTTTATTTTGGTCTGAAGCTTTGGATTGACATCCTTTTATATGTTTGGAATTCTTCAGCAGATGTAAAGTGCTTGGTAATGACTGAAATTACCTCAGGCTTTATATATTGTCTTCCCCAGGAACTTCACTGAAGTTTCAGTAACTTTTGAGGGTTTTATGCTAACGACTATTCTCACGAGAACACTTTATTTTTATTTTTTTTTTTGTCCTATCATATTGCCTTTACCATTTCTTAGAGGTGCTTTAAGCCACTTTGGAACCTTTTTGCTTCCCTCTTCCCCCAGTACCTGTTCTGGGGAGTCTACATGAAAATTTTCACATCTGAAATCCACCAAAAGAGGGGCAGATAAAAAGAAAATAAGTGGAGTGGAAACGAATCTTTAAATGGCAAGTCTGTGAAACATTGAACATGGTTATCTGACGTTATGTCAGAGAGTGTTATCTCTTGAGAAGAAATGAGCAAGAGCAGTCCACACAGGAAAAGTAATTGTTGCTTTACTTCTGTCTGTTTATTTGGGATAGCTTGAACTGTCTCCCACTTTTTTATTTCTCTCAGTGTGAAAAGATAACTATAAGAAACACAGCCAGTAGGCATCTGACTCAAAAGCTATGTTCATTTGACCTTTGGACATAAAATATCTAATGCAAATGAAAATCTAAACAACGTCAAACATCGCTGAGTACAAGAAATATGCAGAATGTGGGTCAGCAGAAATTCAGCACTTTCAAAACTAACAAAACATTTGAAATCACTTGGCTACATTAATATTTCTTTCTCCATTCTGCACTGCAGTATCAGCTGTTGAGGTTTTGTCCAGTGTATGTGAGGGAAAAGATCTGTGGTGAAATTCTGCATTAGTTTTAACAACTGAGACTGAAATGTTAGGGAGAGGAATAAAGGGAAAAAGGAAGGTAGGGAATGTTTACCCAATCCATAAATATTTCTGCAATGTTCAGTTTGATATCTCTACAAAGAGTATATGGGAATTAAGATGTATATAAAGTCCGCATGATGCTGCCATGCATTTATTTAAAGGTTATGTTTATCATATAGAGGACTTCCTCCTTCTTTCTTAATTCTGCTAGTTTGGCTGGTTATTCTTTTTTTTACTTTCTGTTTTTTTAACCTTAGCAAGAATGTTACATGAAAATGCATGGATGTGAATAGATGAAGCTGGATTCCTGCATAGCCCGTCATTCTTCCACACTTCTCTTTCTACCAAGTTATGAAGGAGAAAGGCAGTGGAAACAAAATGCATCTTATGTGAGGTAAAGGACTGGAAAAGGGATGCATTGTCTGCCTCTGGAGAAATAAATCCAGTTGCAACAGGCCACTGGAGCCAGGACATAGATATCTGAGTTGCCTCTACAGAAAAGCCTGTGACTTAGAATCTGTGTGTTAGGGAAAAGAGTGAAACACTTATTCAAGACAAGTAAAAGAACCCATGCAGTTACTGTTACCTAGTCTTTGGATTAGAACTAAGTCCATAGAACAATAATAGTATAATGTTAACTGACAACCTAAAATTAAACAAAGGAAAGAGATTTCAAATTTGCTCCATTGAACTTGAGAGTATATGTATATAATTCCCATCACCTTTCCAGCTGAGAGAACAATGGTTCATCTGGAGGCTCTGGGGGAGAGGTACTCAGTTTTTTCTGGCTAAAATTCATTTTCTACGTTGAGTCCAAACTGCAGAAAAAGGCAGCTGAGTGAGTAGGCAGCATGGAAGGAACTCCATGTGTAAGTCACATTGTTCCATATTTTCT